TGATGCAAGGGTTTATTTCTAAATTCTCAATTCTGTTACATTGGTCTATTTGCCTTATGCCATCAATACACTGCTTTCAATATGGTAGCTTTGTAGTAAGTTTTAAACTTGAGAAATGTGAGTCCTCCAACTTTTTCCAAAATTGTGTGGGCTATTCTGGGTCCCCTGAAATTCCATATGAATTTTAGTTCAGTTTTTCACTTTCCGGAAAAAAAAAACCTATCATTAGGATTTTGATAGGGATTGCATTGAATCTATAAACTGCTTTAAGTATTTTATTCTTTTTGATGCTATTATAAATGAATTATTTTCTCATGGACAGCTGATTTATTTTTATTTTATTTTTTTAGGCGAGGCAACCCTTGGTTGATCTTACAGATCGCAAGGACCTTGTAAGCTTACAATTCCTTATTTTTTTTATTTTCTACGCCTACAGCACCTGGTCTTCCTAGGTGGTCTCCCATCCAAGTACTAACCAGGCCCAACCCTGCTTAGCTTCCGAGATCAGACGGGATCGGGCTTGTTCAGGGTAGCATGGCCGTAGACACAACTGATTTTTTGACAAAGGCAATTTAGTTGAAAAAAAGATCTTTTCAATGAATAGTGTTGGAACATGCAGAAAACAAAAACCAAACAACAAACATACAAATGAAAGAACTTTAATCAATACTTCATATCATATAGAAAAATTAATTTGAAATAAATCATATTCCTAAATGTAAATCCAAAACTGTAAGCTAGATTTCTAGAATTTCCAGAAGAAAACATGGGGAAAAAAATCTTTGTGACCTTGGGTTAGGCAAAGATTTCTTAGACATGACACCAACAAATTCTCCATAAAGAACAAATTGATAAATTGGACTTCATCAAAAGTAAAATCTGCTCTTCAAAAACCACTATTAAGAGATTGAAAAGACAAGTCACAGACTGAGCATATATTTGATAAAGGAGTCTCACGGAAAGATTTTCTCCCAGTTGTAAGTACTCACCCATGTCTTCTTCCAGTACTTGTATGTTTTATTTTTATATTTAGATTTCTAAACAATTTGAAATTTATCCTAATGAATAATATGAGATGCAGACCCAATTTTACATTTTCCAAATGGCTAGCCTGTTGTTCCAACTCTATTTCTTAAAAAAATTCAATTCCTCTCTCTCATTGAATTCTCCACCTTTATCATAAATTAACATTTTCAAATGTATGTAGTTCTATTTCTAGACTTTCTATTCTTATTGTCTGTATATTTATCCATGCACCAACACCACACTTTTTATATTATAGAGGCTTTACAATATGTTGTAACATTGGATGTGGCTAGATTTCTACATCACGACACTAAAAATTTTCAGGATTTTCCTGGATAGTCTTGTTTGGTTGGTTGTTTTCCATGTGAACTTTATAATCAATGTGTTTAATTCCAGAAAGGAAACTTATTGGTGTTTTTTATTGGGAGCATGTTAAATTTATAAATTAACAGGGAGAATTGATGTCATTGGATATTGACTCTTCTTATCCAAAAACAAGGCTTGCTTTTCTATTTGTTTCTGTTCAATTTTGTCTCTTTCAGTAATGTTTTAAAGTTTTCTTCATGTACCTTTGTATATGTCTGTATTGCCTAAGCATTTTGTCTTCTTTGTTGCTATTTTAAATAGTCTTCTCTCCCTTATATTTTCCAACTGATCATTATTTGAATATGGAAAGGTCACTGTATTTCTTTGTTAATTTTATAACTTGTTACTTTACTAAATTTTATTATTTATAGTAGTGTTCCCATTGATTCCCTTGGATTTTTCTGATATACAATGATATAATTTGTTAAAAGGGATGCTTTTTCTTACCCTTTAAATTAATGTTATGATACCATGTTAAGTGAAGTGACATTCTTATATCATTCCTGACTAGCAAGAATGTCTCTAGTGTTTCCTTATTAAAACAATGTTGGCTTTCACACACACACACACACACACACACACCTTTTAATCATGTTAAAGAAATATCTATCTATTGATTCCTACTTCACTGAGATTTTTAAATCAGAAATGGATGTAAATTATGACAAATGCTTTATCAGCAATTGTGAAGATAATTGTGTGATATTTCTTTTTAGAAATATTACTATAATAAATTACATTAATGGATTTTCTAATATTGAACCATCTTTCATTCCTGTAGTGAACATCACTTGGTCATAATGTACACTTTTAAAAGTGTTTTGTTGGATTCTATTTGCTAATATCTTATTTAAGATTTTTACATTAATATTCACAAGCGAGACTGTTCTGTAATTTTCTTTTATGTATATGTACAATCTGTGTTATTTTTATATCAATGTAAAGTTCATTTCATAAAATTTTTTAGAAAGTTTCCACCTTTTTCTATGACCCAGATGTTATTATTTTTTAAATAAATTTATTTATTTAAATTAGTTTCAAGTATACAGTACATTGGTTAGGCATCTATAATGTTCATAAAACTATCCCCCCAATTGCTCCCTCCCTCCCCTGGCCCTCTACTTAGCCATCATATTAATGCTAACTGCATTGCCTCTGCCATGCTCTCGTGCCCAACTATCAACTACTAATTTGTACTTCTTTAATCCTTCATTCCATTCTCCCAGCCTCCCAACCTTCCTCCCTTCTGTCCATCACCAAATTGTCCACTATATTTGTGAGTCTGTTTTTGATTAGTTTGTTCTTTTTGTTCCTTAGATACCACATATAAGTGAAATCATATGGTATTTCTCTTTCTCTGTCTGACTTATTTCACTCAGCATAATAACCTGTAGGTCCATCCATGTCATTGCAAATGGTAGGATTTCATTTTTTTAATGGCTGAGTAATATTCCATTATATATATATATATATGAATCATAATTTCTTTATCCAATCTATGACCCAGATTTTAAGTAGAATCAAGAGTATATTTAGGAAAACCATTTATGCAATGGTTTGAGTTGTGATCTGAACTAATCACTTTTTTTTTATGGAACACCATTTTTACTTGAAAGAGCAACTAACAAACTATAAGTTACTCAGACTTAAGTATTTGGTATACATTTTCTCAAAAATAAACAAAATGAACTTGTCATTTTAAAGAAAACAAGTGACAACACTTGTTGTCGATGATAAAATTTAAGCTTTTAAATGAAAATTAGAATTTTGGAAAACTTGTATCTGCAACTGTGAGACTGACAGCTCCTCGATACTCAAAAACCTTTTTGATGAGATAGGTAGTGAAATTAACAAAAGTGATCTTTAAATACTTATATAATGAAGTTTGTCAGTTTTTAATATTGTATAATGAAATGTGTCAATGTGCATAACTCAGTGAATCATTTTTTTCCAAATGACCAGTTTGGTCTAAAAGTAAGATGTAGCATATCCATGGTGTCAGATTCCACATAGCTTTCAACAAACTCCCACTTTTTGGATTTTGGTGTAGTATAAAAAAAAAGTTCACAATTGTCTGAATTGGCTATTAAAATACTACTCCCTTTCCTAACTACACATTTGGGTGAGCCCAGATCTTCTTCACACACTTCAACCAAAACAGCATGATTCAACAGAGTCAATGCAGAAGCTTTCTATTACATCAGATAGTAAGAGGTTATAAAACTGTAAAACAATGCCACTTTTCTCACTAAATTGTTCTCATTTTGGAAAATATAATTATTTTTCACAGGTTATGTTAATATTTAATGGGTTTATTATTGTTTTCAAATGAACTAATAAAGAAATATTTTTAAATTTCTCAGTTTTAATAGCTAATATGGTAAATATTTATAGATACAATCCACATAAAAGCTCTTTGGGAGGGGTCTTAAATAATTCTTAAAATGTAAAGGAGTTCTGAGACCAAAAAGTTTAAGAAGCAGCATTTAGTGGATTCCTCAGGAAAAAGTATATGTTCACATTTTTGCCAGTGGCCTTTATACTTGAACACAGTATAAGGGGATATAAAATTCTTGAATCATCTTTTCTTTTTAAAATATCTGGAAAAGTCTGTTTCATTGTTTCTGGCATAAACTGCGACTGTAGAGAAGTCTGGTACCAATTTAATTTTCTTTTCTTTATAAGTGACTAGTAGTACTTTTTGCCTGGATGCTCAAAGGGGCTTTTCCCCTTATCTTTAAAGACCAATAGTTTACTAGAAAATGTCTTGGTTTTGACTGTTTTGAGTCAGTTTTCTCCTATACACGATATGCTCTTTCAATATGTAGATTTATGTCTTATTTTATTACAAGAAACGTCTCAAAATTTCGTTTTAAACAGTTATTCTGATATATTGCTTTGGTATTCCTCAGGGGAATAAATGTGTGTGTGTGTGTGTGTGTGTGTGTGTGTGTGTGTGTGTGTGTGTGTGAGAGAGAGAGAGAGAGAGAGAGTGAGAGAGAGTGAGAGAGAGAGAGAGAGAGAGAGAGAGAGAAAACTCTTTTGCTTGTTTTCTATATCGCTTTCTCTTGAAACCTTTTTAATTCTCCTTTTTGCCCTTAATTGTGCTTTTTACCCTCATTTTTATTTCTAAAAACTTTTAATTTTTTCCCGAGATTTCTTAGTTCTCATTTAATACCCGACTGTTCTCTATACATATCACTTTTAAGCTTTTCTAATTCTGATTTTCGCTGTTCCGTCAACGCACCTATTATTTTCTTTATTCTATTTAAAATTATTAGGTTGTAGTTTTCATCTGCTTCGTGACCACATTTTTCTAGTGTGTTACTGACTACCGGAACATTATAAGATTTACTGCATTTTCGCCTTGTTTCCACAGTACCATGTATGGCATTAGGTCATATTCCTTACGTGGTCCCAGTCTTAGACGAGGTTGGTTTTCCTGGACTATGAAGCACCCTTGCCTCTAGCACGCCACCTGGAGCCCCGCCGTCGCCCCTACTACGCGGCCGTGAGCCCCGCCCACGCACTTAGCACACCGCCCAGGCCCCGCCCACGCGCTTAGCTCACCTCCCAGGCCCCGCCCACGCCTTGCGCACGCTGTCGCGGGCCACGCCCAGGTTCTTGCCTCTCCCTGAAGCGAGGCTTGCTGTATATTTTCCCGCCATTTCCAGCTCTTCGTGAGGAGCACTGGATGATTTCGGTGAGATCCAAAGCCTTCTGGGATCACGGCGGCCAAGTGGGTAGGGAAGGCAGCTAAACAATAACTACTGGTAAATTTGAGACTCTGCTCAATCCCCACTACCTCTAGAAATTTGGCGAGTCTTACCTTCACAAACCCCGTTAATTACCTTTCTTATAGGGGTTCATCTGTCCAATTCATTTGACTAGAATTGTTGTTGCTGCTCTTAAAGAAACCAGGGCATATATGGTGGGAGCTTTTCAGTAGTTCTGTAGACTCACTTCCTGGTAGAAGTTAGTGTATCCCGAGCAACAGATAGAAATCTGAAGTTCATGGCTCTTAACTGTGTAATACCGTTCCATTGAACTGTTTATTCAGTAAGCTTTTATCGTGAATCTTACATTATGTGACAAAAAATGTTAAAATGTGGTGGAAAATAGCCGTCATTCTTTCAGCAAACCTCTCCATAAAACATTTAAAAACTTTTTTTAAAGAAAAGACTTCGGTGGGGGCAAAATTATTTTCCTTTTTGAATATTTTCCCAATTTAATTTTAAAGGAAACCAAACATAGATATTATATTCTTCGATACCATATTTATGAAATTAAACATGGATTCATTAAACATGAATTAATTACAGCTCCATTTATATCAGCTCAGTTTTGTATTTTTGACATGTCAGTTCTTCATTTAAAAATATTACAAGGTCACATTTTCATAGTTATGTATTTAACAAATTATATGGAATTATATAAAGTATATGGAATTATATATAGTATTTGCAGAAAACAAAATGTATGGTTGCCAGGTCTAACAAAAAGGCTTACTTAATGTGGTAGCAGAAATTTGACACAAGGAATAAGGAGACTTGGGTTCTAATCCCAGAGCTGCCACTAACTAAAGATGGACCTTTGGACAAATCATTGAATTTCAGTAAACAGCAAGTACATCTTTTGAAAAATGTTGGGATTGGACAAAACATTTGACTTTCAAGGCCCTTCCCAGATCTAGTTTCTGTAGAGTAGAAGGGAAAGTGTACAAGCTGAGACAACACTGTCATTCACAAACCATATTTCCCTTAGTTAAAATGTGTCCCAAGTGTCTAATATGTGATCTTCTCTATTTGGTCCACTCTTCTTGGTTTCATCTCATGGTATTGTAGGAAACTATTAGGAAATAAATGGATGATTCTTTTTTAAAAAGATTAATTACAAGTTGATACATGAATTAATCCAGAAAACTTGGAAAGCAAAAATGTGTAAAGGCAATACACACACATACCCATAATCACATCATTCAAAAAGAATCTCATCATTGTCCTATTTCCTAATATATATTTTTTCTTATTAAAAAATGATACAGTCTGCAATCTGATTTTTTCACTTGAAAAGTTTATGTACTTCCTTAAAACAAGTTGGAATACCCACAATAATATGCCCACATCCCAATAAGATAGCAGAAGCTAAGCGAACATTGTTACATAGATTTTTAGAACAGCTCTAATTCTATTACACCCCAGATTTTTCTTATTTTTTTTTTCTTTATATGCTCCAGAATGGATTGGTTTCACTGCAACCGGTGTTTCCGAAAAGATGGGGCCCATTTCTTTGTCACCAACTGTGGCCATATTTTCTGTAGAAAGTGTGTGACTCTGGGTAAGTGACTTAACTGCTTTTAGATTCAGGCAAAAATGTTTTTAACCTAGAAATAATGATTAGCCATTTCTCTGTGTGACTTGGGATAAAAATCACTTAGTAGGTCAAAGGTGGTGTGGATATGGTAGGAAACTGTTGATTGTGGAAATTGGAGGAATCCATTAATAAAGAATGATTTAGCAAATGGAATATCCATTAGTTGAGCACCAAAAGGTACTTGTCAGTATTTTGAAGCCTGTAGCAGGGAAAGCCACGAGATTATCAGACAGATTAGACAAGAGAGAAGAAATAAGAATAACAAATAGAAATGGGGGAAAGTTTTGTTGATAACGAGCCATTTCTAATGGGAAGTGGTCTGTCTAGTCTGTGAAATCAATTTGATTAGAAAGGATGATTGTGATGGTGATGGTGGTGGTGATACCCTTTCAATTTAAAAAGTATTTTCACATGTACCAATTTTATTTATTCTCACCACAGTACCAGGAGATAATTATTAGTAGGAAATGGTTCGGATAGGATAAGTGGTTTGACCAAGTTCTTGCAGCTATTAAGTCTTAGAAATGAGACTTGAATTTAAAGTGGTGGTTTTTTTTTTTTTTTTTTTTTAATGCTAAAATTTTTACAAGATGTAGAAATAGCCTGGAAGAGGGACTTAGGATAGGGTACTTGGATCAGGGAAGATTTCATAAAAAGTGTTGCTTTAATAAAGTTTTGAATAACAAACTGGAGTTTGCCAAGTGGTTAAGGCAGGGAAGATCACTCTAGTTTAAGAGCACAGCATGTATAATGGTATACCACATCATAAAAACATAGTGCAGGGGACTACACATAGTTGAGATTTGTAGAGCATGAAAAATAGGTAAGAAATGGTGAGAGATGAGGCTAGAGAGGTAGGCAGTGGCCGGATGATGGAAGGCTCTATACACCAAGCTGAAGAACCTGAACTTTATCCTGCAGGTGATGGAAAGCTGTGAAAGTTTGTTTTGTGTTTTTCTTAAATAGAAGAATAGTTTGTACTTGCTACCTTATTCTGGCCATAATATGGAGAGAAGGCTGGGAAAAACCTTTAGTCCCCAAGGAAAGAAGAGTCAGATTAGGTAGCCTCTGGACAAGCTTTTTTTCTCTATATGAATCTCATGACCCTTTTAAGTTACCTGCTAATGTAACAAAGCAGCTCACTTTGGAATGGTTTCTCTGAGTGAGGTATATGTCATGTGATGTTTTCTCCTGACATGGCATTTGTCTTAATAACCAGCACCACTACTAAAATTTCAACTTACAAGGAAAGATTGAGAATTTTAATTTTCTCATCTTTCAGAATAGGTTAATTAGAGAATGAGAGTAGGAGAGCTTCAGAACAGGAACCAGGAATATTAGCAAAGTGAGAACAGGGCAGGAATAATTGGGGAGTTTCTTACAGTACCTAATATGTACCTACTGTGAGGTAGATGGGATAAAAAAAGAGTAACTTAAAGTTGGTGTTATTGGTACTCTTATATTCTTCCCAGTACTCTTATAAATGTACTCCAGTACTTCTGCCGGGACATTAGAACTTTCCCCCCTCACCCACAGAAGAAAGTTGGAAATTCATAGAGAGGGAGATAAGTAGAGGTACAGTGCAAAAGTCTTAACTTGTCATCAACATGCAGGTTTGGAAATATTGATTTAGAGAACAGAGCTCATATTGATGTCCTTTTATAGCAAACGGTATTCTAAATTCAGTAAGAACCCTCTTCTCTTGCTAGCCTACTTTACTGTTACCATGTACTCTAGGAAAATCTTACCTCTTGTCTATGAGAACCAAACATTTTTTTTTTCTTTCTCCCGCTAGGAAAATGTTTTATTTGTAGAGCTGCCTGCAAGCATCTGGCTCTTTCTGATAATGTAAGTTTTTCATTCCCTCCCACAGACCATCTTATCCCATTCCTGGCCTATAGGAAGTATACAAAGAGTATCATTGATGAGCAACTAAGCACTAAAATTTAAAAAGAAAAGAAAAGAAACCAAACTCAATGATAGCAGTTAAAAAAAGTGGGGGCAGGGGGAGGATAAACAACAGATAGAAGAATTATTTGTAGCTCCTAAGGTAAGGCGAATTAGGATATATAGTCTGTATCTCCTAGAGCAGTGGTGATCACCCTCTCACTTAGCACAGTGAAATGATACCAGGCGCTTTATTTATTTTTTTTTTTGCCCCTCTTTAATTCCTCCCACCACCACCAGTTCCACCCCTGACCTGCAAATGTTGCCATCTCCCCTTAAGAACTGGATCTCTGAAGGCGGGGTGTCTCATCCCACACGCTCGCTGTACACACTGGGGCCCGGAGCACCCAGGGGCTAATGCACCTGGGGTATGGTTCGTGGCTCCACCTGAGGTGCAAACCCAGGACCTTCTGCATGTAAAGCAGATGTGCTAACCACTACACTACCAGGCTCTTTAAAAAGAGTAGTACACCCTTTGCTATATTTGCCAGTATTTTATTTCATTTTATTCCATTATGGATATGCTCATTGTTTGTCTTACTCGCTTCATAGATGAAACCTCAGGAGAAGATGTACTTCAGAAACCCTGTGGAGACAGCTTTGCAGCATTTTAGTCACATCTCTCAGGTATGAGAAACAAAAGTGAAAAAAAATCTGATTCTCCAGGCAAGTTTTAATTGCATCTTATTTCTTTATCAAAAGTTCTCTTTAGACTCCATTTATACACAATGGGGAGAAATTGGCTGTTCTTTTTGCATTCTTCACTGATGGTACAAACCTCAACAGTTAACTTTTTACTGACCCAGAATCTGTGATAGGCTGTAAAAACGATGCAGCTGATATCTTGCCTTGTTCTATTAATTTTTAAGGATAAAGAAGGGTCTAGGGAGCTTTATCATCTTTCTGTGTAGATTAATGAATCTTCTAAAAACTGATTTGACTATATAGGCCTGCAAAGAATGGATTTAGTGGTCTCTCAATCTTGCTTATAGACTTAAGTTCAAGAATGGATTTCTTGTTTCCCATTCTCACTTTTCAGTAACTTTTCTTAGTAATGCATATATATTTAATTCTTTAGTGTTCATACTTGGTTGCCCAAATTTGGTTGCCCAAATTTTAGAAAATATTTTTCTTTTCCTGATGCATCATATGTTGGTGGACCATTGACTTGGTCAGGAGCAATAGGAATATAGAAGAACCTAGAGAGAAGGCAGGACAATCATTTGAGAGAGTTCCCAAATTGTAAAAGCTTTAGTTTTTCCCTCCCCTCCCCAGTTCTTCACTGAGATTATTTCATAGTCTCATGAGATTCCTATCTTGGCATGTTTCTTGAGATTTTATTACTGTTCTTCTACTCTTCCTTCTCATTTTTAGGAGACTATCCCTTTCCTAAACATGAGGAAGAGCCCTAGTTATTTTCTGGCTAAAGATGGTAGATTTAATTTTTCTTTGGTGTCTCACCCTTAATCCTAACTCTAGAGATAGAGGAAAGGGAATTGAGGCTTTGGCTGCTTCCTGCTTTTAGCTGCTTGAGTGAACTGTCATATTTTAGATACTATTTAACATTATGGGGAGGTAAAATCCAGCTGAGACTGAAGGAGAAAAGTAAACAAGGTCACATGAACAAGAGAAAGAGCAGACCTTTGGTTAGTAACTAAACCCAGGATTAGTTAATGATTAGTAGGGAAATTATATGCAGTCTGAATCTTAACCTACCTAATCATGAGACCAATTATACATGGTCAAATAATCAAGATAAAATAAATAGAAAGGCTCAGTTAATCATCACTTTAGTGAAGGGCCAGTTTGGTAAAGTCAGCAATGTCTGAAAATGTGTTTTCCTAATTTGTGAACTTGAGTAACTGATCCAGGTAATATCTACATTGCCTCATTCAGGCTTCTGCTTAATTTTCCTTTCTCAGTCAGACATTTACTGACTCTCATATCTGAGATACTCTCTATTTCTTACTCTACTTTATTTTTCATCATAGCTCTTATCTCTAACATTATATAATATATTTATTTATTGTCTGAATTCTGCACTGGAACGTAGTAAGCTCCATGAAGGCAGAGATTTGGTTGGTTTTGTTTATTGTCGTATGCTCAGTTCTTCAAATAGTTCTTAATATGTAGTGGACACTCAAAATATTGTTGAATTAATGGAATGTTGATCTGAATATCCATTCATGTTTTAATTATCCCCAATCTCTGTAATGACCTGACAAGGGCATTTTTCTGCTGTACTACTCTATAGCCAATAGTTGATCAAGCTACCTGTTTTGAATTCTTTACTCACCTTCAGATAAAACTAACTATCTTTGAGGATTGGAGAGCCCCATACAGACCTGTTAGATTTCTTCTATTCCCAGGTCAGAGACTGCATATCCACAACTAGCCATCTTTCAAATGCATGCCAGTTAATTGTTTCTTCTTCTGAAAAGCCACCTCTGATTCCTGTAGGCAGATTTTGGCTCTGTCCTTTGTATTCCTGTCCCACTTGCTCTTAAGTGTGCAAAAGTACTTAACTCTGCAAAAGTGTTTTAATGTTTTTGTTCATATGTCTGTTTCTCTTACTAAACTGAAGCTTTTGAAAGTCGGATATCATCTTTGTATTGCCCAATGCCTAACTAGGTACCTGGTACAAATTAGCTGCATAAGAAATGTTTGTTAAATGAATGAATACACATTAAGGCTGGCAGGGAGGGAGAGAGAACTAATTTAAGATAAGGTCAGAGAGTGTGGCTTGATAGTATAGGGACTTGTAGGCCATGGTAAGTAATTTAGATTTTCTTCTAAGTGCAGTGGGACACCATTGAAGGGTTTTAAGCAAGGAAATGGCATTATCCGATATATAATTTTCAAAGAGAATCTGGCTGCTGAGTAGAGAATGGACCATAGAGAAATTAAGAGTAGAAGTAGGGAGAGCAGTTGAGGCTATGGGAGAAATCTAAGTAAGACTGGCCTAGAATGGTGGCAGTAGAAATGGAGAGGGGTAGTTAAATCTGAGATGTGTTTTCTAGGAAGAACTAGTAGAATTGCTGTTGATTTGGATGTGGAAGATGAGAAAAAGAGAGGAATCAAGGAAGACCTCTGGGTTTTTATCTTAAACAGCTAAGTGGGATGATTGTACCCTTTACCAAGACTGAAAAGACTGTTTTGAGGGAAAATACCATTTTGGACATATTAGGTTACAGATACTTATTAGAAATCCAGGAGGAAAAGTCACAAAGGCAGATAAATTTACTATTGTGGAGCTCAGGACATAGGTCAAGAATAGAGATATTAAGTGTGGAACTCATCAGGGTATAGATAGTTTTTAAAGCTTTGGGACTAGATGAGATCACCCAGAGAAAGAGTTCCTTCAATATCTAGTGATTAGGTACAGGAGAAGAGAAGTTAGCAAAGAGGTGAAAACAAGGAGAGCGTGATGTCACAGAAATTAAGAAAGGAAAGTGTTTCTAAAAGGAAGAAATAACCAGCTGGGTCAAATACTGTTGAAAAATGAAGATGAGTGCAAAGGAGGGTTGACTTGATTTGACAACATGTGGATCAATGGTGACCCTCATAATAGTGTGGTGAGTAGTCTTGAGAAAGAGAACTATGCTAAGCCTCTCCTCAATGCTCTACAGTCTGGTTTTATACTGTTTCACTGAAACTGCTCTTACAAGCACATCAACAGCCTCCTTGTTATCAAATCCAATGAATGCTTTTTTTGGTTCTTATTGTGTTTGATTTCTCAGCATTTGAGACCCACTCTCTCCTTAAAATATTATTCCTTTGGCTACCATAACCAACTTCTGTTATCTTTTTGTGTTCTTTTTCCTGTCTAGCTCTTAAATAGTTAAATTTCACAGAATTCTATACTAGGTACTTCCCTTATTTTTTATACTGTGCATAGATAATATCATCCACTCCTATGCTTTAGTTATAATCAACATATAGATGACTTCCAAATCTATTATCTATTATCTCCAGTAAAGATCTCAGCTTAATTGTCACCTAGGAGGAGCCTTTGCTGATCACTATATCTAAATTAGGTCTCCCCCTTTACTCTCTGCCATAGACTATAAGCTCCATAGAGACAGGGACTAACTGTGTTTTGTTCAATGTTGTATACCCTGCAATGATTAGTTTTGCTACATAGGAGGTACTCAATAAGTCTTTGCTGAATGAATGAGAGTGCTCATGCTCTCATGCATGCTTTCTCCCTCTCCCCCACCCGCTTCTTTCTCCCTCTCCTACCCTTCCTCCCTTTGTCTGTCTGTCTGTCTCTCTCTCTATCTCTCTATTTCTCTATTTCTCTATCTCTCTGTCATCTATCTCTCCAGAGTCATACATATATTTGCTGACTTGATATCTTCCCTAATTCAACATGTTCCGAACTTAACTCATTGTTCTTAATAGCACTGCATCATGCCCACCAACCACATACACACAGGAAAAGAGGCTACTCTTCCTGTGTTTATCATGGTGAGTGATAACCACCATCTACATAATGACCAAACCAAAAATCTAGTCATTCTTGATTTCTTTTTAAAAAATTATTATTATTCAATTACAGTTGACATTCAACATTATTTTATATTAGTTTCAGGTGTACAGCATAGTGTTTAGACATTTATTTAATTTACGAAGTAATCTCCCTAGTCTAGTACTCATCTGGCACTATACATAGTTATTACAATATTATTGACTATATTCTCTATGCTGTACTTCAAATCCTCATGACTATTTTGTAACTACCAATTTGTACTTCTTAATCTCTTCCTTTTTCACCCAGCTCCCCAATCCTCCTCCCATCTGGCAAACATCAGTTTGTTCTCTGTATCTATGAGTCTGTTTCTGTTTTGTTTGTTCATTTATTTTGTTCTTTAGATTTCACATATAAGTGAGATGATATGGTAGCTGTCTTTCTCTGACTTATCTCACGTAACATAATACCCTCTTGGTCCATATATGTTGTCGCAAATGGTAAGATTTCTTTCTTTTTCTGGCCAAGTAATATTCCATTGTATATATATATATATATACCACAACTATCTAGTCACCTATTGATGGGCACTTAGGTTGCTTCCATATCTTGGCTGTTATAATTATAAATAACACTGCAGACACTTAGGTTGCTTCCATATCTTGGCTATTATAATTATAAATAACACTGCAATTAACATAGGGATGCATATATCTTTTTGAATTAGTGTTTTGGATTTCTTTGGATAAATACCCGGAAGTGGAATTCTGCGTCATAAGATAGTTCTATTTTTAATTCTTCAAGAACCTCCATACTTTTCCATATTGGCTGTACCAATTTGCAATCCTACCAACAATACAATCCCATTTCTCCACATCCTTGCCAACACTTGTTTGTCGATTTATTTATGATAGCCATTCTGACAGGTATAAAGTAATATCTCATTGCAGTTTTAATTTGCATTTCTCTGATGATTAGTGGTACTGAGCATCTTTTCATATGTCTGTTGGCCATCTGTATGCCCACTTTGGAGAAATGTCTATTCAGGCCCTCTGCCCATTTTTTAATTAGATTGTTTGGGTTCTTTTGGTGTTGAATTGTATGAGTTCTTTATAAATTTTGGATATTAACCCCTTAAGAGACATGTCATTGGTGA